CCCACTAGCCTGTGATCTTCTTGCATTCAGCATCATTGCATGGCTGCTTGAGTCTAAAGAGGAATTTATGGACTGGTTTTGACATATAGGGTATTATCGGATGTATCGACTTGATCTGGACTGGGTTGCTCTTTGATTTAAAGTTCTCTCTTACACACATGAGTGTCTTTGGATTTGTTTCTCTAGTCTACCTGGACTAACACATGTGGCTTGTTGTTCGTTGCCATTTAGTCCGTACCACTCAAAGATAATGAATGATGTCTGGGTACACACCACCAGCTTAAGAGAGGGAACATCAGCCATCTTATTTAGGTCCCCTGTGTATCCCTTTTGGCCTCAGGGGTAACCATGACCCTATATTGTGTACTTATTATTCCCTTGCTTTTCTTTAGGGCTTTTAACTCTGTTATTGAGCTTTATGTAAATGGCATCATACTGTGTGTAGTCTTTTGCTACAATTATTTTCTGAACTTGATGCTCGTGGGATCTAGCTGTGTTGATTCCTGTAGGTGCAGAGATGCCAATGGTTCCTTGTCAGGCTTGCACAGGGGTCACTTGTGTGACTATCACACTTTCTCCCACCTAGGTACATTTGGGTTGTTGCCAGTGTGGGCCCTGCACCCCCCTCCCCTTTCTAACATGAATGAGGGTGCTATGAACTTGTTTGCAAATGTCTCCTGAGTGCAGATTGAAGTGGTTCTCTAGGGCCCCTACCTAGACATGGAAGTACTGAGTCATAGAGCTCTGAATCTTCACCTGTATCTTCTAAAGCAGTGGTTCTCAACCTGTGGGTCGAGACTCCTTTGGGGGTCGAACAACCCTTTCACAGAAGTCGCCTAAGACCATTGGAAAACACATAAATATTTCACAATATATAATTACAGATTGTTTTGTGATTAATCACTATGCTTTAATTATGTTTAATTGTGTTCAATTTGTAACAATGAAAATACATCCTGCCTATCTGATATGTACATTATGCTTCATAACAGTAGCAAAATGACAGTTATGAAGTAGAAATGAAAATAATTTTATGGTTGGGGGTCACCATAACATGAGGAACTACATGAAAGGGTTGCGGCATTAGGAAGGTTGAGAACCACTGTTTTGAAGTGTTGTATCTCTCTGTATTTCCACCAGCACAGTATGAGTCCTGACCGAGTTTGGGGGAGAATCAAACTCAGCTCTTCCCTTGACATCTTTTCTACAAATTAAATCCCCTCTGATTCTCCATCGTCCATCTTTTCTAAGTCCCTAAAACAAAAGTAACGTACATGTTCTCCCCATTAGAGGTGTGATGCTTTTAGGTCAACACTGTCAAAACCCCCTCTTGTGCCTTCAAAGCTGATAAAGTCACATATAGGAAGTAGGCCTGGGATAAGGTTACCCTAGATCCAACATACAATTTGGGGAGAAAGGTGGGAGAACACAGTGTGGGTTTTAAATAGTCATGTTAAGTTG